CTTACTCTTGATGACTAAAGTGATATTGATTTCGGTTCCTCCCACTGCGTTGGAAGTGGAGCACCTGTACTCGCCGCTGTCTTGAGTTTCATCTGTGTCTTTCACAGTCAGATTGGCCCATGCAGACGTTCTCAGAAGCATGTACTTTGAGGTGTCTTGCACACCGACACCCTGATTATTAAACCAGGTGATTTCATTGACAGGAAGGTAGTTGTCTCTCAGACTGCAGGTAAGCTGAACGTCGCTCCCCTCGTACACAGACACGACTCTGCGCTGTGTCTGCAGCACTGGCGCCTCTACGTGTGACAATGTACAGACTAATTATTTAACAATTTATATCTGCTATTTGTTGTACAGTGAGAATGTGCACTCACCCAGTGTGAGTCTGCAGGTCTTGGTTTCGACCAGAAGTGGGTGTTTAGCGTGGCAGGTGTAAGGCTTCCCACTGCGAGCTGTGCCATAGTGGAGGATCAGGATGTTGAAGGTTTGTTCCCCACCTTTGCTCTGACCTTCGGGGCCCTCCCACCACACCAAGGCTTTCGGGGCCCCTCCCTCCCAGGAGCAGGACAGCATCAAGTATTGTTTGTCTTTAGTCACAGAAGCAAAACACAGTGGCTCTGCAGGGGGAATATCTGATGAAGGAGAGGAGAGATATAAAAACATTCAGATACATGATCACAATACTGCCACTAACTTCTCTTTTACTGTTTGTTGACATTGCTGCACTCACATGTGCGTGTGCTGCACTGTGTCGACTGTTTCAGGGCAGGATGGGAGCCCAGGCATGTAAACAAGCTGTTATTAGAAGTCAGGCCTCCAGAGGGCAGCATGATGGTAGTGCTGGAGGCTGAACTTGTTAGCTGGGCTATGTTGGACTGATCTTGTATCAGGTCTCCAGTCCAGTGGAGGGAAGGTGAGGGGAATCCACCAGGCCAGGAGCACAGCAGCCGCAGAGAGGTGTGATTCAGAGCCGGCTCCACAGAACAGGACGGGGAGCCATCAGGGGGGTCTGTGGGGATATGATAGAGGTAACAAGGTAATGATGTGCCGAGTGGAGTAAACTGATGTCATCAGGGCCCGGAACCTTTTTTTTTTCAATTATTGCTACATTGTTAAGGATGTTTGGTTAAAATAACTATACAAAAATTATCGAAGAAGAGATATGTTGTTATGATTTTGCTGTTTTTTTCTTTTGTTGGTGGTGGAGTTCTTCTGAAAATGTAATCTTAGCAAATAGCAAAAACATAAGACGTGCGCAAAACCAAAAGTAGGGAGAGTGAATGACGTGCTTGCCATGATTGTGACGTCACAGTGAGATACCTGCCAGAGAGTCCCATCAACTTCCAAGATGGTCCAAACAGGAGAACAGGTCAGCAAGCTTTCCATTATCTGCTGTGTGTGGGTGTGTGTGTGGGTGTGTGTGTGTGTGTGTGTGTGTGTGTGTGTGTGTGTGTGTGTGTGTGTGTGTGTGTGTGTGTTGTGTGAGAGAGACCCCCTTGTTCAGGTTTTCTGAAATAAGTATATCAGATGAATGTGCTGAATGGAGTCAGAAGACATTCAGAAAAAGAAACTGAAAAGGATTCTGCATTAAGTGAAATGGTCAGGGAGATGTTTCTAGGTCAGAGATCCTGGGTGAAAATCAAAGATGTTTAACCTCCTAGGACCTGGCATCCACATATGTGGACATCACATTTTGGGTTGTCTAGACCAAAAAACGTAATTTTGCTCTACAAGGGCCTGATATCCACTTATGAGGACATTATACTGCCCCTGTTTTATCAAAATTAAAAACGAATATCCTCATATGTGGCTCTCTTTTTCTTAGGAACAAAAAATTCTGGTGATTCTTTGTTTTTACATTCATCGGGTCCCAATATGCCCAAATATCAAAGAGAAATTAAAAATACATGCCATGGAAGAGTTTGGGTCTTAGGAGTTTAAGCTGTTGATAGTATTGTACTGAAAATGTCAAATCTGAACAGTTTGATCACATTTGACTCTTTTACACTCCTTGTAGTAACAAGAGAACAATAGGCTTTAGGGTAGAATTGACAGAGGAGTAAGATGCTTAATAGCATGATCAGAGATCAGAGGTCACACTCACAGTAGACGGTCAGGCTGATGGTTTTTTTGGAGCGGGTGTTAAGGTAGGTGTTCAGAGCCAAGCAGGCGTAGTCGCCAGTGTGCATGCGGAGGATCTTGGTGATGGTGAGCTGCGGCCCGCTGTAGACCTGTGAGTTGTTGTAGAACCAGACATACTGACTGGCTGGATTGGACTGGGCCTGACACAGCAAAGAAACAGTCTCTCTCTCCAAAGCCGAGTAACCCCGCTCTGTTATACTGTACGGAGTTACGTTTATCTGAGGAATGTCCGGGCCGACTGAGGAGAAAAATCATTGCTGTGAAATTTAATGTGATGGACCTTCTGCTTCATTTAAAAATTGTCCACAAAAGCTGACTCATGACAAAATGTTTCATCCAAGTTAGTTTAGATTCACAAGATGACATTTTCTCTGAGAGTGACAAATGCTGATGATGCACAGTTTACCTGTAATTTACTGATTACTCACACAGAAAATGCCAAAGACAAGTTTAAATTACACAGAAAATATCAAAGTCATACCAATTTCTGTTTCTTTAAGACTGTAACTTAAACCACTGTCTTATTCTTTTTGCTTCTTTTTTTTTTTTTTTTTTTAAGTTTTACAAAAATCTCCATATTGATCCAACTTCCTCAACTTACAGATGGTGTCCAGCCACAAGCGGTTGGAGCTTTCACTGTTAACTGCGTTGCTGGCCACACAGCGGTACCAGCCGGTGTGGTTGCGGTTGACGTCGGTCACATTGATAACACTGCTGTCGCCCTGTGCGATGATCGTGATGTTACCACTGCGTGTTTCATGTTGCCACACGTACTGGATCGGTCCAGTCCCATTTTCCAAATTGCAGCGCATCCACATTGTAGATCCTTCCACTGGAGATACTTCACTCAGCGAGAGGTAAGGCTTAGTGACGGGGACTGCATTGGCGGCGAAGAAACACAGTGTTCAGTAACTGGAAAGATCATTTTACAAACAGAACAAAGCTGCAAGTTCCCACAAGCAGCAACATTGGAGATTGAACATGAGACCAGGGTCAAAAGGGGCCCTACAAAGGCTAGATATAATTTGTTTGCTATGGCTAATTTTTTACTTTCTCCTGCCTTTACTTATGCTAATTTCGATTACAAAAAAGGAGCTCACCACTGTTAGCATTTAGCATTTTCACTGCAGTCATTTGACAAAATAATGTTTCCTTTTCGGTATTTAATCTAACAGCTTTTCTACAGTATGTGCTCCAGTCGAAGTGAATGAATTTTTTAGCAATAGTTCTTTCATGTCTACCATATTGCACTCAATGAGCTTCTCAAACCTATTTCTTGGCTGGTTGGCGATGTTTCCTGGAGGTTGCTGACTCTCACTTGTGGAATCTGGTTGCAAAGAAAGTGCTACACCAAAACCCTCTGTGTGATTGCTTTGGTTGCTATCAGAGTGCCACAGTTGCTTGTAGTTTTTTGTGTTTGTCTGCAAGTATCCACTAACTACTAGCTAAGTTGCAGTTGGTCAAGGCCTATGTCACTTAGGCCTTCTTCATGTGATCCTACATTGAAAACTTGATTGTTAAACATTTAAATTTGCTGACAAGTTAATTGTGTGGTTAGTGGTCACCTGTCTGCAAAACCTCAATACCGTTTATGGAGGCACTTGCCAAACAAGCTAGTTTAGATAAGCTGGGCCTCCACCCCCTTATCCTAAAATTCCTATTTTGTGGGCTTGAAAAAACAAGCTCACCCTTTAAAAAGGGTGAGAAATAATCTGTAGTGCCTGTATTCATCTTTTGTATCCAGTCTATGGTCCCTCTATGGCCAGCCTTAATACAAAGCTATAATCTCCTGATTATAAGGAATTGTGTTTTAGACTTTTATAATCTAAATAGTCTTTGCCAAATAAAGTAAAGAAACTTTTTTTTCATAAAGTTTTAAAATGCTCTGTTCAAAAGACCAACAAATAATCAAAAGACAAAGCAGCACATGCTGAACAGTAGAGTTTCTTAGATGATAAAAGTCAAAAAAAGAGAGAAATATCTACAGATTTTTATTTTCAGTTGTTCCATCTCTTCCTCTTTCTCTCCAATGCACATGGCGACAGGGATAGTAATACACTGTATAATAATTTAGGATAATACACCCAAGTAAACACAACAAGTCTACTGTCCTATTTTGGAATATATAAGACAAATTAGCCATGTTGGAGAAATTGGGCAACAAGACTGAATGTCAGTCTCTGTTTCAGCTATAAACTGACTAAAAATTTGTAGCATTCGTGACAGCAGGAAGTCTTACCTCGGACAATGAGATGCACGTAGTAGTAGTAGACTTTCGGCTCGTTCTCTATGTCATAGAAAGCCTGGCAGGTGAATAAGCCTTGTGCAGCCAGAGGCAGCTTCTCAATGCTTATAGCTGCACTGTTTGAGATGACAGTCAGCTGTCCCAGCGTCTCAGCCAGCTTCTGAATCTTCGGTCCTCGTCCCACATTATACACCACAGCTTTTATGCCTTCAGTACCAGGCTTGGTGAAGCTCCATATGTACATGTCAGGTACAGAGGGACCACACTCCAGGATCACGGCTTTGCCCACTACCCCATACACACTGGCGTCCTGGTACACCACCTCATACATCTGGGTGTCCTTGTACACAACCTCTCCATTGGGGTTGATCTGCAGGGCTGGTGGTGGGAAAGGATACAAAGATATGAGTGTAAAGGAACAGGAGACGCTGGTGTTGTTTACCTCGTCGGTGTTCGGTCACAGGATTGATTACACAGTGAGTCTCAGAGGCAGCATAACATTGTTACAAGTGATTCCAGGCATTTCTTTTCCTTAATTTCCACATGCAGGTTCTAAAACAGCTTTTGATAGCATAGCCTTTCTGCTTGTTATCTACAGTGCCCTGTGACCCGTCATTTAAATCAGTAAGAACCAAATAACTGTAGATGCATCAGTGTATTTGCTGCTCACCCCAAATTTGATTACAGAAATGCCAAATATATGTTCTTGGCGAATTTTGAAATGTTATATGAATGAATACTTTGCATTATTTATACAGTCTACATACTGATATGTGCTTTCAGAAAATGTAAATGTATGACATGCAAGTATTCAAATCCTACATTTTTGCAACAGCATTCCAGATCATGAAGAATTCACTTCTCTTAATTTGCTGTTTTAAAGGATGTTTAAAAAGTAGGGGTTTAAATGAATCCACAGACACTGGAAAACTCTTACCATTTGACCCCAAAGTGACCAGACTGGTAGTTAGATATAGAATGGCCAGTCCTAGCAGTGGAGCCACCATGGTATCATGATGATCCCGAGTCCAACAACCTCTTTACTCCAAAAAAATGTGGAAAAGATCAAAAGGTGAAGCCTAACTGACCATTACAGCCCTCCTTCAGATGCCTGATGTTCCGTCTTTCGTACTCTCTGATCTGCAGGTCTTCTTGGAGATTCCAGTGCATTCGACTGAGAGTAGGAAGGGACGGAGGGTCAGTAAACTGATTTAGGCTCAATTATTAATGTGTTTTCCTTTCTCTCTATCCCTCTATCCTTCTTTCTTTCTCCTGCTGGGTTAGAATAACACACTGACACCGAGACCATCTATTATACAAGAAAGCCACGTAAGTGGATGGGCTGGCCTTTCACACACACACACACACACACACACCTGCACATTAACTAATGCAGTCACAGTTGCAGCTGAATCTGTCATTTGCGGACTTAATACCACAATCCTTTACACTGGAATTTCATACAAATTCCAGATCTCTGGAATGCCATAAAAATATATCTTTATCTATATATAAAATTTCTCTCTATAAATATGTAAATGTATAAATATATACAAGACAAAAATATATAGGTGGAGAGCTCTGCAAAAACATTTATGCAGTCAGAGTACGATTAAACTGCATTTGTAATGTGCAGTCATCTTGGGTGACTTGTGAGATTAAAGGCTTCAGATTTCAAAGGTTTTATGAGGATCCAAGGAGCAGAGTAAACTCTACCAGTGGGATTAAAATCATTCAGTAAAAGTATTCAGTATTTCACCGTCATGTTGCCTCACAGCATGCTCTCATTGCATGCCAACATTTAAAAATGTAATCTCCACTTTAAAGTGGACTGCAAGAATGCACAGTCTGTCCATCAAACACTTTTATTCAGTAATTGTAACAATTTTCAACATGTTTTTATGTTTATACAAGAGCAGAATAGACTGCTTGGTGGAGCCGTGAGTATGTAATGTGAGACGTTTGTCATGAATGAATGCAGGGCGCAGATCAGTTTCCCTCACTTGGCAGACAAACAGAATGATGGAATACAGCAGGTTACTCCCTTATTTAGGGGAAACTAATCAAATGTTTAAATGCAGCTTTATCCCAGCGTGAGATTTATTGAGGGAAATTAAGGCGTCTATAGTCCTGTGCAATTAATTCCTCCAATATCATTATTATTTGTTATTATTATAGATAGTTTTGGTGAGAACTGATGAGATTGAATTTTAGCTCTCAGTACTGACTGACTGGTTCTCAGGCACAGAAATGTGCCGTTCAGAATCATAATTTCTCAAATCAGATGCAGCCTTTCACTACAACAATTTGGCTAGGAGCTCTTTTCTATTTGTTAGCTTGTTTTGTTTTTGTATTATATTTAGCATATAGACAAGAAAAGTTGGGACAGTGTCATGTTTACCACTGTGTAGCATCCCCTCTTCTAACAACAGTCTGTAAACACCTGGGAGCTGAGGAGAGCAGCTGCTGGAGTTTTGTGGATATAGCTGCTTGATGATACTTCAAATGTTTTCACATCTAGACGTTTCTACTTACAAAGACATGCTGCTGCAGTAGATGCAGTATGCGGTTTGTCATTGCTTTATTGAAATATTCAGGCCTTCCCTGAAAAAGATGTCACCTGGATGGAGCATATGTTGCTCTAAAACCTGTATACACTTCTCAGAATTGATGGTGCTTTTTCAGCAGCCAAGTTCGTAGGCACCATGCCATCAGGCTTTTAAGCTGAGTCAATGGTCAGTGACTTTATTGTCCCCAGTGGGAAATTGATTTGCAGCATGTCCACACATCAAACAACAAATACATTTTTTTTTTTTAAAAAAAGAAGAAAAGAAAAGAAGATAAGCACTGAAAAAAAGATGGTTCCTTTTCTCTTTGGTCCAAGGAAAAGGTGCCTATGTTTTCCCAAAAAGAATTTCAATTTTGATCCACATACATGTTCATAAACAAATTATAAAGTGTCTTATTGGTTGTTATATTTCTGTTACCTATACGTTTATGGTGGCTTCCAATCAGTTTGCTTTGTCTTTTTTTTAGCATTCTAAACACAGAATTCCGCATTTTGAAAGATGTTACATGATTTATGTACAGAGCCATTCAAGATGTTCTTGCCTCCATGTTGTCCAGTCATTCCCAGTAATGGACACCTTTTGATACAGCTATAAAAGATATTGTGTGTAAAGCTTCAGTCTTGACCAAATATGACCAAATTTATGTTGATGTTATGTAGAATGATACGAAACGGGTTGTAAGTCTCAATAAATAAATAAAAAAGCTGTTTTTTTTATGTATGTGGACTACAAACACTTAATCTTCTTTGATCGTCTCCAGTAACATCACCTGATAGCTACAATGTTCTCTTTGCTACTGTAGTGTGCAAAGTGACTATGCCGAGATCTGTAAGACATCAGAATAAAGGCTTAAAAAAGAGGTTTTAAAAAGATTTTTTTTAGATCAATCATTTTACTTTAAGGGAAATCATTGAAATCATCTAAAATTGGCCTAAATTTCAAACTACTGTCGGTGAGTCCAGCACTGGCCACCCTATACAAATCACCCTAACATCAGTTGATGCAGAAAACATCTACAAGAATGCCAAAGGTGAATCACAGAATTTTTTCAGGTAATTAGAAGCTATTGGTGTAAAAATGCACATATCCACTGATCTGAATGAGAGATGTGCCTTATAAAGTGACATTTTCTAGTGTCTGAAACTAGGATTTCTTCCACAAATACACATTCACACTTGAATAGACACACTGGGGGCAACTCAAGGATGCTTCAACATGCAGACTGGAGGAGTTGTTTCTAACTGGTCGATGAACCACACTATGTGGTGACGCTGAATTGGATAAGCAGAAGATGGATGAGTGGATGGATGGATGGACTCAAAATATTTCTCCTATTTTATAAATGAAAAACTACAGTAGGCTGGTCAGAGTTTTCTGTATAACATTTAATTTACTGTGTCGAACATGCTTTAAATGACTGTGAGCTTTGCAGTGAAAAGTCGATGTGGGGAACTCGTAACTTTTTACTGTATTTTAAAAGAGCTCAAAAGCAAACTGTCAACAAAAATAGTCACATGTGAATTACAGTTGAAAGAGAGGGGCGTGTGACTATGAGCCCGTCGCCTTGACGGTGATGGTGACGCTGACTGGCTTGTTATCGTCTCCAGAGGGAGGGGCTTGGCTGGTGGTGGCGGGGATGGGGGTGGCACTCATGGGTGAGGAGGTGAGGGTTGAAGCTGCTCGGGGTAATGCCGTTGCTGGACCTGGAAAAAGACAAACATCAAAGACGATTGTTGGCATTTTGTTTTTTTCAACAAAGCTCATAATGAGGGGAAAATGAGCACATATCTGTTAGAAAATGAAGTTCAGTCCAATTCATCATTTGCATCTATGCAGATGGATAACTAAGAGTGCTGGCATTGATTATTGCTAAAAGATAAAGTCATAAAACAATCAAATAAACAACAACAACAAAATCCATGAAATAGAACCTAATGAATTGGATTTTTTTTCATTAATTAAAAATAGAAAATAATTTAATCTGGACTCGAAACTATGAATCTATAAATGTGTCTATTCAACTTTCCTGGACTGGGTGATCCACCAGTTGCTCCCTCTGACCCACCAAACACTTAATCCTCTGGGAAGTTGATGTTTTCCTGCGACTGGCTGTGCTGCCTGCAGTCATCATCAAAGATGAAAAGGCATTACAAATAGTAATCGTTACCATCAGCGCTGCGAACTGCAAATGTTTCATTACCAGTCACCAGACACTTCATTAGGTACACCTGTTCACCTTATTGTTGAAGGGGTCATTACCTGTGCATAAACAGGTTTTTGCCATACCTGCCAAAGCCCTGCTGCATTTGTGGCTATAAGTGTGAGTTAGAGCTGACCCGCTTAATGCTTATGTTTTCATTTTAGTAGAAGCAGCTGAGAAACAGTAGAATACAATGTCAAGCTAATGATTAAAGGCAAGGAGTAGATGTCTAAAAAGGGAAAATATATGAGTGTTGCCTCTGTGTCTAAAGGCCTTTGCAAACCTAACTAGTAAAATTCATGCTAATGTTTCCAGCGTTAGTCCAAATAGTTTTTATACTCGCCTGTCTTACTAAAGTTGTTCACAGCCGTTAATTTCATATGATGAATATTCTGCATTTGTCTTTTTGGATCAAGCTCGATTTTTCTAATTTTTCAGTATAGAATAAACAGATCTCATCAGTCAGATTAATGCGTTTGGCAACAAGTGCGCTTTTAAGCTCAAAACTGACTGCTTCGGGTCAATCGCCTCCTCAGATCTGGGCCCATCTCTGCTAACTCGAACTCAAAGTGCGCCACTGACATCCTGAAATATGTACAAAAGTGTCCATGTTGCAGTTTCAACTGCTGCATCAAACCATGAAATTGTCCCTGCTGCTCCCTTCTCTTGAGAACTGCATGAACCCTGAGTCTCAGTTCCAATTTCCTGCTTAGAAACTTCAGAAGCAGCTCATCGTCTCTTGATGTCGACCTCTTTTTTTCCCCCAAAGTTCCTCTTTTTGTTAGACTTATACTGTGTATATATACATTACAAAAACAAGTTCACATGTGAAAAATACTGAATGTGCAGGAATCTGAGGTGAGTCTTTTTAAAAAAATAATAATAATTTTATTAGTCCGTACTATGCAAGTAACTGGGAATAAATGCTAGAATGAAAGAATCTCAAGTTCAGAGGGTCCATTACCAAGTTTACTTATTTAAAAATAAGTAATACTGTGAATACGTACTATGAGACCTTTAGTAAATAGCCACATGGGACCACCCACCAGTGGGCCCGCCATTTGCAGGTATTGACATCAATTGTCTTGTTGAACTTTATATTGCAATATCAATAGTTGGGAGCAAGAACTTTCTTTTACCAGGAAGAAACCTCTGACAGAAGCAGGCTTAGGGAAGAGCAGCCATCTGTCTTGAGTGGTTGTAGGGGTGGAGGGGAAATAGAAAAGAGAAAAGAGAAAGCAAACATTCCTGCTATCCAAGAGCGGCACATAAACACAGGCTGTAGCAACATAACTAAGAGCTGCTTGAGGGTTGCTTTATTTACTGCAATCTTAATCAAAAGGGAGGTAGAGCAGTTGTCCGCTTTCTGATTCTGGAAATTCTCAGAATCAGAAATAAGCCTTGAAACGGAGCTTGAAGGCCTCTATCGGGATGATATAGTACAAAAAGGTATTTAGAATTTAATAGAGCCTGATTATTCAGGCTCATTCTTTCCAGTCCTTGTTATTACTCTTGCTGCAGTGTTTTGAATCAGCTGACAGCTAAAAGTATAAGCAGAAAAGACTCACTAATATTTACAAATGCAGGATGAAGAGCTCCATTCGGGCATCTCTCGACGGTGGCGTTTTGTACAATTTGGAAGGCACAGAACTAGAAAAAACTAAAGAAATTATATATCTGCTGAGTACAGAATGCCTTGTTTTTCCCCTGGAGGACCTGACATGATGGGGCAGGTGACCTCTTTAAGCTGTAGAAACACCCCCAACCTGAGTCAATTTCTTTTAGATGTTTTTTCTTACCATTGTAGCCAAGTGATTGCTCTCAGGGGGTCATTTGATTTTGGGGTTTTCTCTCTATTATTGTAAGTTCTTTACTTTACAATATAATGCTACTCGAGGCAACTGCTGTTGTGATTTGGTGCTGTATAAATAAAATAGAATTGGACTGAATTGAACTAAAAAGCACTGGATGATGTTTTCAAGACCTTACTTAACTTGTTACCCCTTGAACATCTCTCGAGTACCTTTAATAACAAGTTTTGACACCTCAGTAATGATCAATAAAGACATGGTTTGATGATCATTAGAATAGATTCTGTGTTTTCCCGAGGTTATCCCTTGCAAGCTGTACAAGCAGAGGTTACCCACAATAACTTCTGACGAACATGTAGCCGTTTTGTTCTGGAAACAAGACTGAAACATAACAGAAATGGTTCAGGTCAGAAAATATCACAGAGAATTCAGACAGATTGGAAAGTAAAAGATGGTCCAACCCAATACTACCAGTGTGTACCTAATAAAGTGCCGGGTGAAGGTTGCAACAGATACACATATACTTACAAGCCAAACAGCAAGTCATGGAGTCCTGGGGGAAGATACAGAGTATTAAAGCTACATAATGTTGCTTTATGCACAGGTCAGCAAGATGCTGGTGGTGGTCATGTGTGTGGAGGACTCACGGGGATTGATGGTGCAGTTACGGAGGATGAACATGAGCAGCAGAACAGTGACAATGGCTGCAATCATCCCACCAATAGCTGCTCCAATCACAGCGGGGTACAAATTGTTGCGTGGTTCCACTAAAACACATCAGAGTTAAACATTGCAAAGGAGCTGAGCTCTGTGAAAACACATCTGCAAAGTGATAAGCGTTCACCGTACCGTTATCCCATAATAGGAATGACTACTAGGTTCCACATTAATGTAAACTCTGTTGAACTAGAGTATTGTGGGTTAATTTTTCAGATAAATTTTAATACATTTTTGTTAAAGCCCCCCACCCACTTTGCCCAATTCTTTGCCAGAAGTCTCATATGTCTCGCATTTCCTGTACCTGGTGTCTTTGGAGTAGAAGGGTGTCCCACAGTGCGGTGGTTCACCGGTATGATGCGAAACTGGTAGGTAACCGTTGGCGTCAGGCTCCCCACTGTATAAATCCTGACAGCTGGATCCTGGAGGATGTTACGGTACCAGACTACGGGACCAACTTTCTCCTCCATCCGCTCACTTGAAGAGTCATTCCCACTTCCTTTCCTTCGTGGACGCTCAGACAACCATCGGTGCTCCAAGAAGAAACCTGTCCAACTTCCTGCTTCCTCATTCTCCACCACCCACTCCAGCTCCACCTCATTACGCTGTCGGCTGGTGTACATCACTCTGACCAGGGTTGCATTGGGTGGCATGGGGTACTCTTATACACACATAAAACAAACATAAATAAATATGACTTCAATATGACATCAATCCAGTTTGTATATCTAATCAATTAATGTGTGGATTTCCATTAAATAATGTGTAGTCAATTCCCAGACTACTAATTACTTTTAAGTAATACTTCTATTACCAATATATTAAACTGGAGATATTAACCCCTCGGCTGAATTTAGACAGTGAAAGCATTGTCTAAACTGCACAAAAGTAAAAAGTGAAAGAATGAGTTTTCCATGTTGTTTTTTTGTGTATTGAATTCTGATTTAAGGTGTTTTTAACTGGAAAATATCAGGAGAAGAAGTCGACACATTTCCCTCTCGCTTCACATCTTTATTCTAAGCTGACTGAGATTCATATGCTGTACAGACTCAAGGAATGTAATACAGTTCTCAACAGGGAAATTATTCAACAAGCCCAAAAAAGATCAGAAAAATAAAACAGGTCCTTACTCTTGATGACTAAAGTGATATTGATTTCGGTTCCTCCCACTGCGTTGGAAGTGGAGCACCTGTACTCGCCGCTGTCTTGAGTTTCATCTGTGTCTTTCACAGTCAGATTGGCCCATGCAGACGTTCTCAGAAGCATGTACTTTGAGGTGTCTTGCACACCGACACCCTGATTATTAAACCAGGTGATTTCATTGACAGGAAGGTAGTTGTCTCTCAGACTGCAGGTAAGCTGAACGTCGCTCCCCTCGTACACAGACACGACTCTGCGCTGTGTCTGCAGCACTGGCGCCTCTACGTGTGACAATGTACAGACTAATTATTTAACAATTTATATCTGCTATTTGTTGTACAGTGAGAATGTGCACTCACCCAGTGTGAGTCTGCAGGTCTTGGTTTCGACCAGAAGTGGGTGTTTAGCGTGGCAGGTGTAAGGTTTCCCACTGCGAGCTGTGCCATAGTGGAGGATCAGGATGTTGAAGGTTTGTTCCCCACCTTTGCTCTGACCTTCGGGGCCCTCCCACCACACCAAGGCTTTCGGGGCCCCTCCCTCCCAGGAGCAGGACAGCATCAAGTATTGTTTGTCTTTAGTCACAGAAGCAAAACACAGTGGCTCTGCAGGGGGAATATCTGATGAAGGAGAGGAGAGATATAAACACATTCAGATACATGATCACAATACTGCCACTAACTTCTCTTTTACTGTTTGTTGACATTGCTGCACTCACATGTGCGTGTGCTGCACTGTGTCGACTGTTTCAGGGCAGGATGGGAGCCCAGGCATGTAAACAAGCTGTTATTAGAAGTCAGGCCTCCAGAGGGCAGCATGATGGTAGTGCTGGAGGCTGAACTTGTTAGCTGGGCTGTGTTGGACTGATCTTGTATCAGGTCTCCAGTCCAGTGGAGGGAAGGTGAGGGGAATCCACCAGGCCAGGAGCACAGCAGCCGCAGAGAGGTGTGATTCAGAGCCGGCTCCACAGAACAGGACGGGGAGCCATCAGGGGGGTCTGTGGGGATATGATAGAGGTAACAAGGTAATGATGTTTAAAGTGCGGTGAAATCAAGGCCCAAGAAAGATGTTGTGTATTTACAATGTTGGGCATGAGTAAGTTATAAAATTATTTGATTATATACACATATTTTGGGAAGCTGAGTTCAGGTTCATGAGCAACACCCAGGCCTGATTACTGACAGAACCAGAAGCTGCTTTACTGGAATCTGTCTGACAAAGTGAAGTAGGCGAAAAAAATCTCAGATAGCAACACATCAAAGTTCTAAAGAAACTCAAGAACAGATGAGAAACAAAGTCACTGACATCTATCTGTCTGGAAATGGTTACAAAGCTACTACTAAGTATTTCGGATTCCAGCGAGTTATCCACAAATAACAAATCAAAACTTGGAACAGTGATGAAACTTCCCAGATTTAGCAGGCCTACCAAAATTACTCCAGTAGTGCATCAACAACTCATCCAGAAAGTCACAAAAGAACCTAGAAAAACATCTAAAGAAATCGAGGCTTCACTTTCCTCAGTAAAGGTCAGATGTCATGATTTAACAACAGCAAAGAGACTAGGCAAAAATGCTCCAAGGAGAAAACCACTCCTGACCAAAAAGGATCACAAAAGCTTGTCTCACATTTGACCATCACAAAACACGTTAAAATGGGTTAGGAGTCGCCTTGGAGTGGGCTATAGCAATGAAATGGCCATTATATTTCTCTACCATATTTGTCCAATAAACATGGAGCATGGTCTGTCTTTGTAGAAACTGAGGTGTGGCACTTCTGCTTCTTGTTATTTCTTATTGACATCTTTAATTAGTATCTGAGTCAGACGTCATCCCCATACTGTGTTCATCCCCACAGCCAAGGATGAATTAAAACAAAGGAACCTATGAGGATTTCTGCATTACAGGAGAGGTTTAATTGAAAGTGAAATGATCGTAATGGTTAGAGGTCAGAGGTCACACTCACAGTAGACGGTCATGCTGATGGTTTTTTTGGTGCGCGTGTTGAGGTAGGTGTTCTGTGCCAAACAGGTGTAGTCGCCAGCATCCACACGGAGGATCTTGGTGATGGTGAACTTCTGCCCGGTGTAGACCTGCGAGTTGTTGTAGAACCAGACGTACTGACTGGCTGGATTGGACTGGGCCTGACACAGCAAAGAAACAGCCTCCGTCTCCAGAGCTGTGTAGCCCTGCTTTACTGTACGAGGTGGAGTCACATCTATTTGAGGAACATCTGGGCCAACTGATGAGAAAACGTAGCAGTGCATGTAAGATATACAAGAAACAAACAACTTATGCTGAAAGCAGAGCAAGAAAATGTTGTTAAGAGCTAAAATTCAAACCAGGGTACAATGAAAAGTTTTATCATGTGATCCATGTAGGATCACACACAAAATTACTGCATCCTGTTGCCATTAGGTCACCAACTGTGGCGGTCATTTGTTGTAAAGCAGCTATAATGCCAAAAATGATTCACTCAGTCTGATCAGAAAAAAATAAGCCATTGACCAAAATATCATGATTTTGGTCGTTTTTTCTTTTGTCCAGTGATTCCCTACCTCAGCTTCAATACTTACAGATGGTGTCCAGCCACACGCGATCTGATGTCTGGCTGTTGATATTGTTGCTGGCGACACAGAGGTACCAGCCGGTGTGGTTGCGGTTGACGTTGGTGACGTTGATGATGCTGTTGTTGCCCTGTGCAAATGTTGTGACGTCTTCACTGCTGGTTTCACGTTGCCACACATACCGGATCGGTTCAGTCCCATTTTCCACATTGCAGCGCATCCACATTGAAGATCCTTCCACTGGAGAAGTATCACTCATCAGGATGTAAGGCTTATTGACGGGGACTACAATGAAGATGAATAACACAGATGTTTCTGGATGTTAACAGTCAGTAGTAGAACTGAAGGGCAGTAAACAAACACTAAAAAGATGATCTTATAATTTCATTTCCAGTATGTGTGAACTTTTGGCCAATCAGGACACCAAACTGAGAAAGAGGCTCAAAGTTTCTCGAATAGTATAGTTTTAATCTGATGTGGGCATGTTAATACAAAATTACTAATAAATGCTGATGCAGTGATACTATTTTATGAAGACAAAGGGACATGTGTATACCATTTGTCATTATGCTCAGGCTTAACCAGTCATGTTTTGCAGAGTTAAAAGGACAAATTGTTGTCGCTGAGATTTTTTTTTAATAGATCAAGTAAAGACAACTCTTAAATGGTCAGCTTTAGAGGCACAATGAACCTTAAAAATTAAAAAAAAAATACCCCAGCTTATGAACACTGATAAGATCATTTTGAATATATTTGTACTGCTGTATAATTTTGGGTAGTAAGACATCACATATTGATTTTTTTAGCTGGTGGTCAGTTATTGCATGTGTTGTATCAAAGGACCTCAGATGCTGATTTTAAAATCATGTTAGTTTACTGAAAGATAGATAATTTGTTTTCAGGTGGAAGGAACACTCCAAATAATTTCCCGTGTATACAAATGTGACTCTGCACTGCATCAGCATCGATCAAAAAGAATGAAGTGAAAATGTGCACTGACCCAGCGTGAGTCTGCAGGTCTTGGTTTGGACCAGAAGTGGATGTCTAGCATGGCAGCTGTAAGGTCTCCCAAACCGTACAGTGCTATAGCGAAGGGTAAAGTTGTTGGAGGTTTCTTCTCCACCTTTGCTCTGACCTTCGGGGCCCTCCCACCACACCAAAGCTTTCGGGGCCCCTCCCTCCCAGGAGCAGGACATCGTCAGATACTGTTTGTCATTAGTCACATAAGCAAAACACAGTGGCTCTGCAGGGGGAATATCTGATGAAGGAGAGGAGAGATATAAA